GGTTTTCTGAAAACTGTTCTAAGCAGCAGCACTCACTCATCACGTGTAAGAGATTACGCAATATTTATTTTCCGGATACTTGGAACAGGATACGGGAAGTAACGTGTTTATAGATAGCAAAGTTCAGCCTAAAGAAGATGCTATGAGTCAGTGTTGTGGGTGACCTTTAGTTTATGGTAAGTTCATGCCCTTAGTACTTATGTGCAGCCGTACTATACTTATTGCAAGTAAAGAGACGCGCTTATAAAACTATATGTACTGTACTCAGACGATTCTTGTTGATTTTGGTTTAACTTCATACTTAAAATATTAAACTTAAACATCTTAAATTTCATAAACGTATATCGCCAAGAAAATTTAAAATTCCAACCATGGTGTGAAATCGATGATCCTTGTTACCACAATTTCAATGAGAAAAAAACATCTTTTCTCAGGAAATAAAAAAATAGGCTCGACTACTACTTACCGGGCCCATGGTCTTGGAGGAAAACAACCATTTGAATAAACAGTTGACAAAATAGAATTTATAAAAACACATACAGAGCTGATAATTACGTTGAAGAAGAATGGATCCAAATAAAACCTAAGAATAACAAGTAATAATTTAAATAAAATAACCTATAGTTATGCCAGATCTGCCTTCAGTAAGCGATTTTATTTAACTTAATAAGGGTAGATAAAGTAGGAACAATAGTTCAGTTACAGAGATCCGATTGTTCAACGAGGCCTGAGATGAGATTGCATCACTTTTTTACTCAATTCTGCTTATTACGTTTTGTCAAGTGTTTTACTTTTATTCAATTCGTTGTCTACCCCCAGGACCATGTGCCCAGTAAACGGTATTCAAACCAAAAATAATCTTTATTTGCTAGTTTTTTTGTGTCTGGAATTTTTTTAAAATATACCCACCATGCAATGATATTTGCGTACTCTCTGATTATATAGTTTCACAGATCAGTCACGATCAATTATTGTAAGATCTTTGATAGTGCTTGAATATTATTTACACAATAAAAATCCATGTATGAATGTAACAGGATTATGATTAAATAATATCTGCGTATGTGCGCGTGTGCATTTATATTCTAGAATCAATTTGCACTACGTAAAATAATTCTATCCAAGTGAAAATAGCATCTCTCACAATTATGCACTATATCACACACACGCGCGCGCACACAATGTGATAACATTTGCCAGTCTGCTATGACGTCAGTATATCTAAATTTACTTATTTAAATAACCTTTAAAATTCTTCTTGTAAATTGTATACCTACAAAATGGTAGTATGTATTAATGCGATAGAAAGAAAAAAGAAAGAATGATGCGTACCAACAGAGAAGAGCAATTTTACGTGCTTGATGTATTTGTAGGATTGTGCGTGAGAGATTATTTGCGTGAATGTCTTGTTTGTGCTCTTTGATTGTGGAAATTGAAACTTTCCATTTTTCGTTAAGAGGAGTTTGAATTTCTAAATCTAACAGAACGGGTTCAAAACTTAATCTCAAAATTTCCAAACCTCTCTCATAGCACTTGAACCAAAAACTTCTGTTGCGAAAGAAGTATAGTGTAAGTGCGTGTGTATATATCAACGACTCTGTTCTACATGCGTGCGTTTTTCTCTCTTAAAAAGCCAAATACCCTTTAACGAAAAAGTCGATAACCAACGTGTTGATGTTAGTCACGGTTACTTTTTATGCTAATTCATGAATCAACATGCCAGACATTATGTAGTCGCCACAAATGCGCTTACGTTTTAGAAAATCGCAGAAATTCAAGACCAAAATTCCAATAAAGTGGGAAGAGAATTTTTTTATAAGACCCACCCTATTTCGCGTATTGCTCTTTAGTCTTGACGTTTTTTCTTATCTTCATCCAGAGTATTTTTATTTCAAAATATTTAAATTTTCTTAATAGAAAATTTAAATATTTTGGAATAAAAATACTGAAAAAGATGAAAGGTTTCATTACAGACGAATTTTTGTGGTAGCAGAAAGAAAACGAAATTAAACGTTGCTTTCTATCTTCTTGGTGGTCTTATAACTCAAGTTGAACGTTTCTATCATTCTAGTTTGGAAAAGGCTTTGTAACTACATCGTGTAGTTCCACAAAATACCCGCCTCCATATCGATGTTCGTTAAGAAGATCGAGATGTATAAAACAGGAAATATTTGTTGGTTGTTAATAATTTATGTTTTGTAAATACTTGGGTCAATGTACTGTTCGTCCTGATTTGGTTGTCTAGTTTTGTGCTTTCATGTGTGAGTAGAGGCGATTATGTCGAGATGTTTGTTTAACTGTAAGTTCGACTTGTAAGTGTTGATCATCTTTAATTTGTATTCATTTCACTTTCTAAGTGGGTTAGTCTATCAATGGTGACAGTATCCGTACTGTTTTGTTTGTGAATGCCATAAAACTTGTCAGATTTGTGTAATACTTTGCAAGGTTCAGTATAATTTGAAGTGAATAGATATTCAATTACAATGTGTTTGACTCCCTAAGAGTTGACAAATCTTTAAACAATGTCCTATTGGTTATGATAGGAAGTACATCAAAATTAGATATCCAATCTGATGGGATATCTCATTCCATGACTTACAATTTGAATCTTGGCTTCTTTTCTTTTATTCTAATTCTTGGACTTTTGGAGGTATGTTGATTGTGTTTCTGCCATTCTAGTTTGGGAGTCCTTTGTAAAATAGTTTCACATTATGCAACCAAACGATTACTTGAGAAGAACTCAAAGCAACTGATAAGAATTTAACGAAATTAAACATTAAACAGTCAGATGAATTTCTCAGTTAGGTTCGATTATAATGGATAACTGTCACTAAGACAACGAAACAATACTACTTTTTTTACTTTAATTCACCTAAACAAGGCACAATGGCTACTCAAGGTAAAGGGTTATTGAGTGGGATTGTTGTAAGGGATGGGGAATAAGGGTGTGCAAATTATGAGGATATGTAGGCTAGATAACGTTTGATCCTTAATGAAGAGATTAAGATTGTAGTGGTTAAGGAAGCAGCCTCTAGGGAGTCAAAGTAACAGTTCTGCGTTAGTAGTGGAACGTTAAATTGTATAACATATTTAAAATAAATGTTTAGTTGATAAATAAAGAAGCTTTATCAAATTGAAGAAGCTTGAAATAGGAAAAAAAGTTATGCCAAATTCACTTGTAAAAATAGCAAAACCCCAAATCAGATAAGTTTGTCAGTAAACGCTTCAATATTTAGGCTTTTTTAAAGGTTATAAAAATATTTACTCCAAGCAAATAACTTTTAGAAATAGTAAAAATGGGAATCATAAAACCTCCAGAACCGTGTAAATCGGTAAATAAGATTTAGTGAAAAAATGAGTCATCTTCATTTGACGGAGGTCGAAAATATTTAAAAATAAAATTACTAATTGTGATATTTAATCTTGACCTAATTTCTTCCAATTTGAAAACTAGTCCAACAGTTCATAGCAGGCCTTCTGAAAGTTAATTTTTATCAGTTGGTAATACTATCTTTGTCTCTATACAAAAAGTAAATGTACTGTAATACAACAAAAACAATAGGATAACACAACAGGAACACATGCACGCACGCGCACACAGACACACGCATGTACGTATGTACCGAACACCCCTTTCCCGTGAGGCTGGTGAAAAGCAAATGTTCTCAACATTAAGAAGAAAATGATTGGAAAGAATCTGAGTTGAAATTCCACCAAAAGGTTCCCCTCCCACTTTTTTTTTTATTTTTTTATTTTTTATTTATTCAAATGCATGACAATTCTACACTAAACTCATAAACGTGATGTGCACATTTTTCTTAATCCTGGTTACAACTGCAACCTAGTGCGTTGGGGGCACAGTTGAATAAATCGATGAACCCTAAAAAATAATACATAAACAGATTAAAATTGAAATGAATGAAATAATTGTTGTTGTTGTTGTTGTTGTTGTTGTTGATGATGATGATGATGATGATGATGATGATGATGATGATGATGATGATGATGATGCATAAGCAATAACAACAACAGGAAGTAGAAATTGCATTTATTTATGAGTGGATGCTTGAGTTGACACTTGGATAAGCCTACTCATTTGACCTGTTTTTAAAAACCTATAATAAAAAAATGTTTAAACACAAATTCTGATAAAACTTTTAGTTTTAAAAGAAAATTATAGTTTAAGACAATCAAGAAGGTAGAATCAAAAAATTAAATAAAAAAAATTGTAGAAATTTATAAATAAGTGTCAATAAAACTAAAAGTGAATAAACAAAACTTTGTTCACAGAAATGTCTGTTCACACTCACAGTTTGACTGAAGTTTTTATTTAAATAATTGTAACCGTTTTTTAACTTTTTTACAATCTAAAAAACTTAACATTGAATGTTGCAAATATACAAAAACAAATATACAAAAACAAATATACAAAAAATCTTGCTTCTCTAACGTTATTTTTGAAAGTAAGAAGAATAAGATGCAGTTTTCTGTTTTTATGTTTCGTATTGTTATTAAAGTTTTATGTAAAACAAAAAAAAATAAATAAATAAGAAGCGCTATGGGTAGAAGTTGCAATAATCAGTGAGTAAAAATCCTTTTTTTTTATAAGTATTCGTTTTTGTATTTCTATCTTCAATATTTTTCATTGATTTACTTTATTTCACTCTCTCTTCTTGTTGATAGAAGCACTTGTCATTGTAATGTTGCATAATCTTTTCTTGGTGGAATAATGTGAATCGCCTTCATCGACCCTTCTTTCGTTCTCTAGTAAATTTGGGCAAATTTTCTCAAAGTATCAATTTTTTAAAACAAAATTGAATATGAAATAAGAAGCAACACAATTTATTTTAAAACTTAGCTATTGTTTATCAATTTCTTGAATTTTTGGTTTTTATAGAAATTAATTTTCTCTAAATTCCGTAAATACGCGTTCTTTTTCTTGCTCAAACTTCTCTCTTTTTATCTTACTATCTCAAGTTTCTTCTAAACATAATAATAACATGCATTTTCCTTTTTTCCTGGTGCCTATCTCTCACCATATGTATTTACCTTCTTTCTCTCTTAATTCCTTTTTCTTTATGGTTAAATAATCAACGCAACGGAATATAAATGAAAGAGGGAGAGAGGGAAACGAACGAAAATAGAACAACAAAGCCATAATTATTTTTAAAAAGTGAATGAATATTTTCGCTTAACACGCACATTCTATCTCGATTTCTTTTCTTTTTTTTTTTTCATTTCATTGTATCTTTAATTTGTTTTTTAGCCTTCTGTACGAACACTCACCGTCATTGTAATGTAGTTTCTTTTTTTTCTTCACATCTTCCAGTTTCTTTTTCACATACAACGCACTTCTCACATTCTTCTGAAACTTTTCAATTTTTTCACTCTTTTCTTTCTTGTATATTATCTTTTCTTGAATTTCTTTGCTAAAGTTGCCTCTTTTTTATACTTCATGTTATTAAATTAATTAGTTACATAAACGGTTACACAACACAACAACAATGATTCTTGTCTTGTACCTTTTTAACTTCCTTTCGGTTTCCTTTTCGAAGAAAACGTTCTCTCTTTTTCCATCTACTCACTCTTTTTTCTGTTGATTTTCTTTCATTCCTCATCCTTTTTTTTTCTTTTTCATCTTCTCTTACTCTTCCATTCACCACCGACAAAGAAAGAAACCCTCGTCATCATCAATCTGCCAATCATGTATTCCTTTCTAAGTAAGTGAACGTGAATCACTGGTTGTGGGTTGCGGCGGCGCGGGACAACCTTCTGCCACATTTCTGAGAGGAGTTCATTTGTATGGCCCAGCGTAAAATACCTGATGATGTTACTACAGCAGCAAGAAATTCGCCAACAGTGAACTTAGTGTGAGTAGCACTGCTTTTTATCATCATCATTATTATTAAATCGTTCTTGTTTTCAATATATTTCCTTTTATGACCCATTTTATGATCATTTGTATTTAATAATTAAATTTCTACTCGAAACATCAAAACAAAATATTTCTTACTTGTTTAAAAATCTATATGAAAACAGTTTATTTTTGTCTTTAGGTTTTTTTTCCGAAAAAGAAAAGATTTGTCTTCATCTTCGTTGTTTACTAACATTAACAACGCGAAAAATGTCTCGTGATGATGACGTCTCTTTTATTTTCCGAGTGAAGTTGTAAGGTTTCGTTAATAAAATAAAAAAATGAATAGTTTTTCTTTGTTGTACTAAGTTTTGTCGCTGTTAGTGTTTAGTTTTCTTTTTATTTCTATATTTTTCATTAAAAGTTACTCAAACTTAAAAAAACGTTTTGTGATTTTATTAAAAAATATTTCTAAAGAAGTTTAAACTTTAACGTTAAAACTAAAAAAGGCTTCTCCTTAGCTATTTATAAATAGAATATGAAAATATTTTACATTACAATTATTACAATTACATGAATTAAAATTATTTTCCCCCACGATCTGACGTGTCTTAGAAAAGTTACACAATACAATCAGTTTTTAAGAAATAATGTTCTGGTTTGTTTTTTTAAATTAAAATTCTCCAGAAAACAAAAAAATCTAGTTTGATATCGATTAAAAAATGCGAAAGTTAAGTGTTTAATAATTTGAAAAACGTATTTTCTTGTTAATTTTAAAAACTCTTAAAATGTGATAAAGTTATAATTTACGCTGAATAATAAAAATGAACAATCCAAATAACTACACAGGCAATTATTTCATGAATTAACAAGTGAATAAGTAATTTATATTTTATTATTTTTTTTCAATGAGAAAGAGTAAACATCTCAATTAGATCTTAGAAGAAAGTATTTTATTAAATTAAACATTTTTTAACTTCATTATTTTTAAGAGAAATTATTTAGGACTAGGAAAAAAATTAATTGAAATATTTAACAAATATTCATAAGAAATTTTGTACAGAGAAAATGACATCAATTTTTTTCTTTTTTTTAATTTTCGGTCTAAGTATTTGTATGGTGGACCTTTTTAACAAACTATACAACAACAAATAATGATATGCCTTTAAACAACGAAGGACTCAGTTCGGGCAAATTATATAATTAAGTAAAAGTGTAAGTACATGTTGTTGGCTTTTTGTTAGCCAGCCCAAGGTCTGCAGTTCGGTTAAGGTTGTTGAGTGACATCAGAAGGCCATTTGTTGTTGACCGAATAAATTCCTCCCTTCTTTTCTTCTCTCTCTCTCTTATCCTCTACAATACATCATCATCGTCACATACCCTTTACTTCTCTTACCTAAACTGTTTTTTTTATTTATCTTCCCATATTCTAAGTTGAAGAAATCTTGAAACTTTTTGATAGAATTCAATTTTAGAAAACAAGTATTTCTTTATTCATTTAAGGCTAAAAAGCAATAATAATAATGTCGCTCTTCTTCTTAGAATCGCACTTTAAGAAATATGGCACGTATTTTCTTTATTTTCTTTTTATTTATTTATTTTGTAATTAAAAAATTAAAAATACGGACAGGAATTACTTGTTCGTTATGTGAATATATGTACTGAGAAGAGTGAAAAGTAAAAGTTCCTTTACGAGTGATCCCAAATGTTTTCTTGGTGTTTTCGTTGTTTTGATTTTTTTTTAATAACTAATTTTGTTTGAAAATTAAATAAAGGTAAAAAAATAAATAGGTTTTTTTAATAAGAGTCATATTTTAAAAATAGGTTTTTTTTTAATATTCTTTAAAAAAATCCCCCAAAACCTATGTAGTTTTTCTCTTAAACCTCGTTTTTCGGTCATCAGTAGTTAGTATGCCCTTGCCTTTTCTTTGTTTGGATCCTTAAAATATCTTTTTCTATAAGGAAGGTAATTATTACTTCATCAGTTCATTTTTATACTTATTTTTTTTTTTTTCAAGTAAAATTTTGCCTATTGACCTAATTTATTTATTTTCTTTAAAATAATAAAAATGTTTCAATGCTGAAAAAATACTCTGCTCCGGCTTTGGTTTGTATTTATTATTTGTGAGCATTTTAAATGAGATAACAAAGACATCTGCAAGCAAGATGATCTGGCTGGCCTCTTTCAGTGTGTGATTTTTTTTTTCTTTTTCTTTCTTTGGGTGTATGTATTATCATAACTTTATAATTTATTGTCGCATCACTGAACAAAATCTCTAAAAAGTTCAACAATCGTATTTTTAAAAGACTTCTTTCAAGAGAACATTCACAAAAGAAAAACAACTGTTGTTTTTATTTCAAATAAAATAAAAATACAACATAGGTATAATTCTTTGATCTTTTCGGGCTATATCGGCATGTGATCGCGAAGAAAATTTACGTTTATTTTACTAAACAATTTACAATTAAGATAGTGAAAGTGTTGTTTTTTTTTTTTTTTTCACTTTTCTCTATCATTTTAATTTAAGAGGAGCCTCCATTCAAGTGACTCAATTTTGGTCAAACTATGGTTGGTTGGCTAACAAGGTTTTCTAATTGCTGAAAAATTCGATAGTGGTGTAACTTGCATCATATTTTAATATATTTTTCAAATCTTTCTCTTTGTTTTACTCATTGTTATTTAAATAACTGATTATTTATTTTGGATTTGATACAATAACTTGGTACTATTTATTTACGTTGCACCAGTTTTCGTTTGGCTATCAATCAACTCAAAAAATGGGTCACTTTTTTTTAAAGGAATGTTATGAGAGTTGTTGTTATTTATTAAGTTTTTTAATTGTTAATCGAACACTAAAAGTCTTTGTTTATTCAGAAAGAACATACGCACTGAAAAAGAAGAAATTGTCATTCTTAAACCAAATCTAACTTTTTTTTTAATTTAATCTCTATTTTTCTTAATTTTAAAATTAACATTATTATTATTTGTTAATTAGATTTAAGTGAGTTTTTAGAACGTTATTAAACAAAAAGTAAAATTTTGTTTATATTTTGAAATATTTCAAACATTTCGTTTAAAAAAATGTCGTTCATTTATCTTTTCCTTCCTAAAATGCTGATTTATTTCCAGGCCCAATATGTTTTTTAGTTTGTAATAATAAATGATATTTCACACTCTTTCTTCCCAATTAAATAATAATATGCCAATTTCACCAATACCTTTTCTACCAATTGAATAATGATTTATTTAATGTATCCAAATTCATTCATAAAAATACTTGGCATTTTTCTCGTTTTGTTGCTTTACGATCCCTACGCCCTTCAGTTTTATGCAAAGGTATAAATGTATAATCTAAATATCAAATTGTTACACTACACAGGCTAGTTGACCCATTTTCCCCCACCATGGATGCCCATTTTGCACTTTATGGAGTAGGTTAAAAACGTTCCTTCATATGTATTTATTGTCTTTTCATATTGTAATTTATATATTTGTCTGTTGTCTGTTCATATATGTAATTTATTTGTATAAATAACAAAGTAATGTAATGAAAATAAAAGTAGTCCAGTGAATGGTAAGAAGACTAAGAAGAGGGATTTACAATTACATTTTTTTTAATTTTAAAATATTAAAAATAAATTTATAAATATTTAAAAAACTATTTTTTTTTTTTTTTACGGTATCATTATTTATTAGTCAAGTCATCTATAGCGACGAACAAGAAGTCTGATCCCTCTTCCCGAAGAAAAAGAAAAAGGCTTCGGTGCCTACTTTAGTTTGTTAATAATCTTCTTACTGTTGAGTGTTATTATTTCTTGGTCAAATTATAGAGGCCGGTTGCTTCTAGTCGTTGTACGCTATTTAATAACGACCTTGACATATGTCCAATTAGACGCACACTCGACCCAGCGGTCGGTATTTTACTCACCCTCGTTGTTGCTAACAGTGTAAACAGCAATAATATTGCTTCTATTGCAATTGTTACTAATACCGATATGGTTAATGTTCATATACGGAACTTGTTTTTCATTTTGTCAACAATAACAGATCGTTCATGCGCACTTGAATATCATCAGCATCAGCAACAATGACATTAAGCATTAGATCTTCTTGACATTATGACATTCCTTTCTTTTCTCCCAGTTCCATTTACTCGAACCGTTAACCACCTCTGGACTGGATGCCGCTGACATAATCTGTGTATGAACAAATATTTAGTAGGTATGGGCTTTTTCGGGTTTTTCCGTGTCTACTCGATTTGCAACATAAGTTAACTCTTAACTTCTTTTTAACAGCTGTTTTGTTACGTTTGTTTGAAAGGTGTGGAAAAAGACAAAATCAAGCAAGACCCAAAGAGGCATTTTTAAAGTAAAATGTTTTTTTTAAATAATCTTTCTTTTTCCTGTCCTTGTTGAAATTGCTTCGGTAAATAAATTTAAACTTCTCCATTCTTCTATTCCCTAATTTTATTCTTCCTTCCTTCCTTCATTTGTTCTTTCTCTCTGTTTCTTTCGGGGTTTTTTTCTTTCATTTTTTTAATTTAACACGGGCTTTTTCTTACTCTGCCCTTTTTACACACACACGCACATCCAAATGTCAGTTTATTTTTTATTAACTTTTTAGTACTTGAAAAATATTTTTTTTATCCTTAAATTCCACTCAGGGGCTTTTTTTTTCTTTTATAACCTGTTAAAACCTATTTTATTCTTAATTCCACACAGTTTTTTTTTGTTTTGTTTTTTTATAACCTGATCTAACCTATATAGTCATTTCACCTTTCATTTGCAAAAAAAAAAGATCATTTAACACATTCTCCTTTTTTGTAAATCAATTTTTTAAAACTGTTGCATATTGAGAGTTCTTTGTCTATTTTCGAATGATCACATATTTTTGTGTACTTACTCAATTTTTCCTTTTTCTGTATCTATTTTTAGTTTTTAAACCTTTTTGAATAAATTATTTTCATTTTTTACTATTTTTTAGCTCATATGAAGTCGTAGCTATTTCTTTCCTTCGAATTCGTACTTTAATTTTTTTATAACTCATCAATTGTTAAATGTTGTAAACTAAACAAAACTTAAAAATCTTTCTTGTTACTAAACAACTCGCATTTAAACTAGCACTGAGACTTCCTCGTTTACTTTTTAAAATAAAGCGATAAAAGTTCTAAAGTTATTTTTTTGTTCCTAAAATTCATATTAAAGTTTGTTTTTTTGTTTTTTTTCCAATGTAGCTCCTTATTTTGATAACAAGTGAATTATTCGAATCAAATTGTTGAATTCAATTTTAATTAAATAATTTTAAAATTTTACCTTATGTATAAAAAATATTTGAAAATTGAATTTTTTAAATAGAAATTAGCAACCCGGTTTCGAGTTTAAAAAATCAATTTCCCTCCTTCTCAACACACCCTAAGGCCTATTTTATTTGTATTTTTCAAAGTTTTAAATTACTAATTTCACATTTTATCGGTAAAATGAAAAAGTAAAGGACACTATGAAATGATGGTGTAGTTTTTCTGTTCAATTTCGATGAGCAACACGGCTTTATTCGAATATACGATTTAGATTTATTATTATTGTTTTTTTTTTTATCATCATCGTCATCATCATTATCAATATTATTTCCCCAATGTATCGTCGCGTACCCCTGTCCGTGTCTACTTGATAAGCGACGATGACATGTCAAGGTCAAGAAATGCTGTGGCGGCAAACTTGCTTATCCCAAGTAATTATCAGAAGAAAGACATGGCTCTCTTTGCGAATGACCTTCTGTGGTCAGTTAAAGTGTCAGCAGGTACTCTGACCCTAAAAGTGGCACACATGGTGTATCATATGTGACCTTGTATTTGCCTCACACACACAGAGGCACCTGCTCTCATGTACACACATATGCTTTTGTACACAATCATCAACCAACAAAAGAATACCTTCAGGTTTGGCTCAGCTTTTGTTCAAGACCGGTAAGAATAAGATTTAATATTTGACCAGTTGTTCTTTTTTTTTATTAACATTGAAATAAGATTTTATTTTTTTAGTTACTTAATTTATTCTTAATCTCAAATTCTCTTTTAAATTTTATAAAATTAAAAATATTTTAGAGATTTTTTTTTTATAAGTAAATGAATTTTCAGAGGTTTTTTTTTGTTTCAAGGTAAGATTCATTTTTCATTTGCAGTAATTTTTATTTTTATTTATTTATTTATTAATTATTTGTTTGTGTTTTTTTTTTTTTCGTTTTCAATTAAAACTTCAAGCCTAAAAAAATGCTTTCTTTTTTATTTAAATTCAGGTTGAAAGTTAACGTTTTAAAAGTTAAAATCGATAAATACTTTTTTAAAAAAAGTGACTTAAGTGTAAATTCTCTCTCTCTCGCTCTCTCATTAACTTTTGTTATGCTTGTAGTTTTACTCGAGTCACGAGATCGAATCTCCCCTGTCGTCGTCAGATGTTGTTGACTCTTCTTCGATATTCATTCAACCACCCATGGCGACAAAAGAGGGGAAAAAATAGGAAATCTCCGGATAATTGACCTTAATCCTCTTAGAGCGGTAAAGGAAACGAGAGTTAATTTTTTCATTTATGATTTTATTTGTTAATATAACTGGCAACAGATGATTGAAAAGCTTAAGTGAAATTCTTTGCAACAATGCCTCAGTAAAGAAAGACACCTCATAAAATAAAAATCATATGGTAAGCCCAAATCTCCTTTCTTCTCTCTCTCTCTCTCTCTCTCTCTCGTCTATAATATTTGTCTTGTTTCCACTTTCCACATTTAATTGAAAGATGCCTTCAATATTGTTTATATATTTAAAATACTTATTATCTTACTCTTTATGTAAATCTTGTTTAGTATGTTTAATATTAGTTCTTTGTGCTTTCTCTTTATGTGTGCGCATTTGTGTGTGTGTGTGAGCAAGCTGCTCGCGCGCGTGACCTGCACCAGCTGAGAATGTATTGTATATATACTTACTTTTTTACGAGGGTTAACTTAAAATTGATGGTTTTAACTACATTAAAAACTAAGAAATCTCTTTGTTTTCTTTCTCTTTCGACAATTTTTTTCTGATTTCTTCTTTCTGAACTAGTCTTTATTTTTAGTTTTTCTTTCTTTTCATACAATAATACATGTTCCCTTTTTTCATTTTTCTCAGCCCTTTCTTTCGCTTTCCCTGCTCGCTTTTAGTTTTATTTCATCCGCCACTTTTTTTTGTAATATTTTATTTTCATATTTTACACTTGACTAATGTTTTGAAATTGCAAACTAAAATATTTTATCTAGATCATGCCTCCTATTCCTCCAAACCAAGTATGACTTGTAAAAAGTTTCAAATTCAACAATTTTACTTCAAAAATATAAAATTTAAATTTAATGAAATTCCATCAAAAATTTATATTTCACTTCAGATATTCTTTGTATTCATTGCATATTCAGTCATTCGTGTTTATGAAAACAATTCAATAGGATCTTTTTATATGCCAAGGATTTTTTTCGTTATTGTTTTGTTGTTCTATCTAATTTAGGTCTTGTGACCCATTCTTTGTTCCCTTTCCCCAGCCCAGACCCAAGCTTACAAAAGTATGCATTTGAATCAAATGATTTGAATTTGATTATCATAAAAATGGATCCCAATGGATGTCATTTTTTAGGGTAAGAGTCTTTTCCTTTAATCCGTATTGGATGTTTTAGTCTTGGTTAAACCAGTGTTTTATTACTTTTTTTTTTTTTTGTTTTTTGGGTTTTTTTTTTTACTTTAGGTGAATTTCTTATTAAACATAAAAAAATTAAGAAATCTATTTTTCATGTATTTTTTTTTTTATAAAAACAAACAAATGCCCATAAACACTAAAAATTGTAGATAAGTTTTTCAAATTTAACTACATAACATAATTCATCTTATAATTGTGATTTGTGATTAATTATTAATCCCTTAAGAAATAGCAACTCTACTTGGTAGTGATAGTTACTTCCAAGGAAATGAGAGCAGGTTAATGATTTGAGAACACTATTATTAACTTAGAGTGATCTACTAAGCATAGTTTAGATGTGGTACAAAGCAGCAAGTATTGAGCACCTAGTGAGGATTGAACCTTTTATTCAGTCATAAACATCCGGGAGACAAGCTTGCTAACCATTACACCACATAGAAGTTCCCATCATTGTTAATTTGTATTCTACTTTGTAATTTCTTTTAAAAGAACCAGGTCAAAGAATAAAAATCCTGATTTTAAACTAAGTACAATCTTTCTAGCTATGTCAGCTAAAATCTAAGATTTCACACACACACACACACACACACACACACACACACACACACACACACACACACACACAGTTCAAAGTATTGTGTGTCCACTTCAAAACTTGAAAATTAAATTGGCTGTCTATCTGTGCATGTGTGTGCTTATATATATAAAACTGACATCAAATACAGTTTTTTTTGTCATTTTTATCTACCAGCATATGTCTAATATACGTACTACCAATCATTTGCTAAAAAAATTAGCATACATTGATGAAAAAATGCCCCAAACTTAATAAAAAAAATAAAAACTTTGTTATTAAGAATAAAGACCAAAAATATATTAGATTATATTTTTTTATGTGTCAGCACAAGGTCCAAAGGTTAGTATATGGAAATTTTAGCATCTTTTTTATAGAGGAAAACATTGATTTAGAAATTCTCACAAAGTCACATAATTATCAGATTTTAATGAAACTTTCAGGACATTCACAAATGAAAATTATTTTAGAAATTTTTTTTTTTTTTTTTTATGTTTTTTTAGAAAATCTTCGTAAAAAAAAAAATATTTTTACATCTGTTACACTGCCACTTTAGTTGATTTTATGAACATTTGTAGAGCTTAATTTTTATATTACTTAAAGAGTTCTTTGGAGAATTTAAATAAAAAAAACTGAAAATCTGCTCTGAATTGTAAAATAAAAAATGCCATAAAACTAAGTCATTATTGAATTAGGAAAGATTTTAATTGCTTCTAAGAATAAGATATATTATGAAGAAAAACTTTTTTGATGAATAATGAATTTTTACAAGAATTATTTTTATTTTTTTTAGATTTTAATTTTAATAATTTATGAAGTTTTAAATCTTTTAAAATTGTCTTTGTAGACATTATTTACTAATCATGAATGGAAAAACTTAGTACAATTCATCGAACAACAATATTTTTAAAACAATTTTGAAATCCTTTTGTGTATGTATAAACATATTTTGTAAAAACAGATGTCCATACATGACATTATCAGAAAATAAGAGTGATAACTATAGTAAATTTAAAGCTAAATTACCTAAAATTCAATAAAACATTAGATTACAGAAAATTTTCCTATTTTTTTAAGATTACTAGGTAACTAGTAAAAATTATGAAAAAGGCACTTCAACTTCTATTCCTCAAGTAAATTCTACAGATAAGTCCAGTGTAAAAAAACATCAAACTTCTATCTGTCATTCAAGCTCCATTCCATTCTTGACTTTTGTGATTTTTATAAATAAGTAATCCTTATGTCAGCAGCTTTTTTAATGATGAATTTCATGATTGCTTCATTATTCAAATGAAGCCATGTTTTGCCATTGAAGTAGTAATGACCTTAACATTTAGATCACTCTTGAAAATAAAAGCAGATAAGCAATGTAGGCATTGTTTTTTCAATACTATATTTTGAAAATCTATCATATTATAAATTATAAAACGCCATATAAAAAAATTAAAACCATGCCTAACATTAACAGCATAGGCAAATATCAAACACCTCAGCTCAACACCATCTAACATTGTTTTATAGTGCAAACATTTTCTGATGCACATCTTTTATGTAAATATGGCTAGCTGCTTGTATCTGAGTAGGCCTGTCTGCTTAATTCGCTAGCTAATTCCTGTTGCAGTCACCTGCTCAGACACATTGTACTTCTTTAGCAGTCACAGAGTCAACTGCAGCTATACTTAGTTACAGTTTCTGGGTGAGAGCCAATATGCTCAAGCTCTTGGTCACAATGACTTGTAACTTTATTCTACTATGTTCTAAGGATATATATATATATATATATATATATATATATATATATATATATATATATATATATATGTGCAAAAGTTTGCAGATTAATACTGATAAAACCTTTATTTTGCACAACAAATCTTTTTCAATATAATCTCCTTCTTTGTCAATGCACTTAATTCCGTTGTAGATATTAATTACTTATATTAAACATACGCTGAAAATTTCAGCTCACAATTTCTGTTTAAGAAGTGTTGTGGAAAAAGTATATCATTGCCAGATTTATTTTTATGTATCTCTTTAAATTTTACTCCTAATTTTAATTGTCTATTCTTTTTTTTGTTGGTGCTAATTCTTTTTTTCAAATTTTGTTTTTCTATTTTAATTAAAGTGAATTTAGTCTTTGCCCTTTTTGAAAACTTTGTTTGAATATTAGGGTCTTTGGATTTTTTCTGTTTTTTCCTTTCTGACCCATGTAAGTATTGAATGTTATCTATATTTCTGAGTCATAGACGTGAAGTGTTGATCTTCAACAAGAAGTGCATGTTGGCACTTAAACTAAGCTTCAACTATGAATGCCATGCATGTTGTTCATGGACTTCTAGTATGCTGTTTGTTTGTGTGTGTGTGTGTGTGTGTGTGTGTGTGTGTGTGTGTGTGTAATAGGAGTAGATAGATTTTCCTATCATCCGGTCAATACTCCTTCCCTTCTCTTGAACAGGAGTAGAGGTTCATCCCTAGTTTCCCATTTAAAGGTTCTCGGACCCTTTCCTTTTCTCTGGCCTCCATAGTAGTGCTGTCATGAATTTCTTGTGATGTGTGTGGTTTCTGGCAATGTTTTTTCATACGGAGGGTACCTGGTTGGCAGTTTTCTGGTTACTTTTTCCGACTGGTAGTTAGGAGCCCAAATTGCATAGCATCTTGAGAGGCTGCTTTGATCAACAGTTGCATAATATTGGGGTTCTTGCAATGCTGTGTCATGCATGGAAGGGTGTCCCTGCACATACCTCCAGTGGGCAACCCTGAGGCCACATTATGTTGCAGTCTGCACCAGTTCCTTTCTGTCCATGTCACATACAATGACTGTATGCTGCTATTACTTTAGGCCTTTTCATTACTAACATAACTCAACATGACCATAAACAACCAAAGGTATAGACCTAAACCAGCTCAAAAAAATCATCTAAACCCTTTAACATTTCCTTCTCCAACATCCATGGCATTCATACCAACTTCTGCAGTGTGGAATCATTCCTCTTTGAAAAGTCTCCTGATATACTAGTTCTCTGCAAGACCAACCTTAACTCATAAATCCCCTCCTCTGATTTCTTGATTCCCAGTTATCTTCCTCTCCTTAGAAAGGACTCTAAATTCCACATGCATGACCTGGGAGTTTATGTCCAGGATCATCTCCCACTGGCTAAGGAACTCCCTCTTGAATCTCCAGACTATTTGTATATGTGTCTCCATCTATCTCTCCTCAATTCAGTCAGTTATCTCTTTTTTCTCTATCTAAGACTGTGGTGTACTCAATAACATTTCTGATTATATAGACATGGCTATCTCTCTACTCCATTTGCACATATATTTGTGTTCAGTGACTTTAACGTCCACTATACCATATAGCTTAACACCCTGTAACTGACCTTGCTGGCATCCAAACACTTAACTTTTCAATCACTCAATCTCTCATACAAGTGGTTGACTTTCCTACATGTTTCCCCAGTAACCCTGATGGTAACACTTCCCTTCTTGATCTCTGTTTTACCTCCATCCCTGACTCTTGTTGCGTTACACAGCTCTACCCTCTTGGCAATTCTGTTCATGTCGTAGTGTCTATTAACATCTCCTTCTACTCCCTCTCTCCCCAAGCAAAGAACCTCCTACTAACAGAATATCTTTCTGTTATGAACCAGCAGACTGGGACTCATTCTGTGATTTCCTTCACAATGTCCCTTGGTTTTTAAACACCCCATTCAGAAATGTGCATCTGAGGTCTCCTCCTGGATAAAAGCTGGCATCGAGATTTTCATCCCTGCAAGAAAACATAAAGTTAAATTGCACTCATCTTCTTGGTTCTCAGTTGCTTGCTAAGCTGCTATAGCCCATAGGAATCACTTCTTCCATCTGTACTGAAGTGACATGTTTGATTGCAACAGATGTCTCTT